TGCCCCTTTGCTTCTATCTAGACCTGTTTGTGGGCCAGTTGAAAAGTTGTCTCAAGTGCCAGGCCTGTGGGTATCGCTCCACGACCTTCGAGGTTTTTTGTGACCTGTCCCTGCCCATCCCCAAGGTGGGATTCCAGAAGATTCCAGGGGTGGATGGAACATGGGTTCTCTGATGCAACCCTCCCACCCCTAGTGTGGGAGGGAACCCTGTGGGTCTCTGGAGGAGAAATGAAGCTTGGATTACTTGAGAAGAGTTGGAAAAGTAAATTCGTACCATGCTGACCCTTCACTCCCCTTTCCCCCCAGAAAGGATTTGCTGGGGGCAAGGTGTCTCTGCGAGATTGTTTCAACCTTTTCACCAAGGAAGAAGAGCTAGAATCGGAGAATGCCCCAGTATGTGGGGGTTCACAAGGGACATAGTAAGGGTGGGAAACCTGGGGGGGAGCTCCATATGTGTAAAAGGGGTTGCATGGTGCCTGAGTATGAAGAATAACACGTGTCAGGGTTTGTAAAGGAGTTTCAGGTATGTCCTGGTGCTTCCAGGGCAGAGGGCAGCGGCCCAGAGGATACAGAAGTACATACAGAGCACAGTGAATTTGTACGAGTCAGGATGCCAGAAAAGCCGACTGAGGTGAGGAACACATTAACCTTATAACATTATTTGACATTTATTTAGGTGTGTGACCGATGTCGGCAGAAAACACGAAGTACCAAAAAGTTGACAGTACAAAGATTCCCCCGAATTCTCGTGCTCCGTATCCTAATCTTCAGATTATTTCTCCCATTCATTCTTTTCCCACATTTTCCATGTTTACAGATGCTGGACGTTAGGGAATTCAGTTTGCCTTAGGAAAAGCCTGCCACTCCACCTTTCCCCATCATGCTCCCCAGATGTGTTCAGGGTGGTGGACAACATTCAACTCCTCAGCCCCCCTCAGAGGCCCTCTGCCTCCCAAATTCTCCTTAACCAGACCTTAGATCTTAATCGATTTTCCGCCTCCCGAGGCTCCATCAAGAAGAGTTCAGTAGGTGTAGACTTCCCACTGCAGCGACTGAGCCTAGGGGACTTCGCCAGCGACAAAGCTGGTGAGTGCGGCAGGGAAGGGGCTGAGGAGCTCGGTGAAGGGGAGGGAGGGAGCGGGAGCGGGGCGCAGCTCTGACTGCAGGCGTTGGTGGTCTCTAACCCTGAAGGAAGCCCCGTGTACCAGCTGTATGCCCTTTGCAACCACTCGGGCAGCGTCCACTACGGCCACTACACAGCCCTATGCCGGTGCCAGACTGGCTGGCATGTCTACAATGACTCTCGGTGAGAAGAGCCTGCTATTCAACTCCTGCCCTGTTCCCACAACAGCCCTGACACCCTTCCCTAATACAAAGCCCGCGGAGAGCACCGTGCCGCCTGGGGGGCGGGGCTGGCATCCTGACCACCACCTGGATGCCGTGAGGTTGGTCTTGTGGGGAGGCAGGAATGCGCAGAGCTGGTCACACCTCTTTCCCCGTGTCCTTTCTTCCTAGTGTCTCCCCTGTCAGTGAAAACCAGGTGGCATCCAGTGAGGGCTACGTGCTGTTCTACCAACTGATGCAGGAGCCGCCCCGGTGCCTGTGAAACCCTTTCAACACCCTGAAGCCCCCAGGCTCCCCATTTACCTCAGAGACGTCTATTTTTGTGTCTTTTTAATCGGGGAGGGGGGAGGGGGTGGTTGTACCTCCCGTTATTTTTTTTATTAAAAAATACCCTTTCACCTGGAGGCTCCCTTGTCTCCCAGTCCCATGTACAGAGCTCCACAGGCCCCCGCCCGTGTACAGCCCCCAGACCCTCTACAGTCTCACTTTTTTTGTGAATAAATTTATTTAAAAAAAAAAGATGTCCTTGTTTGTATTTGTGTTTTAAGGGTGTGGAGATACAGAACTAGGCCGAATGGGGAGTCTTCCTGGGACTCAGTTCCCTATCTGAACAGATGGGGGCTCGCTCAGAGCCGTGGGGTGGGGATAGGGCTGTGGGACCAGGACACGCTGACGCCAAGGTTTACACTGGGAGGAAAAGAGGGAAGGCAAACTCGAGACTCGGGAAGCTGTAAGGAAGCCCGGAGCGGCAGTGCGGGCACGGAGGTCCACGGGTTTTGCCAGCGTAGGGGGCTGCCTCTCGAATGCGTGGTACCCAGGGACCCCTGTGGATAAACACGGTTCGCTGCCAGGCCGCCCGAGCTCCCACAGGCCCAGACTGTTGCTAACATCAAGGAGCTGTTTATGGAGCCACCTCCCCACGGACCAGCCTCCAGCGTCCCTATCTACTCTCCCTACAAGCAGAGCTCATGGGACCCTCCCTCCAGGGTTCTCACCCTAGGTGGGGCCTGGGAAGCTCGAGCTGGAGAATGCTGACCCGGATTCAGCTCTCGCCGCTCCAGCCCTGAAGGGAGGGCCTTGCGGGAAACGGCCGCTCCCTCCAACCCGGCAGCGAACCAGTTAATCTCCAGCTTCAGAGACCCGCCTTCTACCGGCTGGGGCGGCCGCGAGACTAGAATGGACGGGGAGTCGGAAAGGCCAAAAAGCTTGGGGGCGGAGGCAGCGGGCTGAAAGCTCTCCGCCTGGAGAGGGGTGGGAAGGAACGCGCCACCGAACCCCGGCGTCCAGTTGGATCCCCGAGCCCTGCGCGAGCAGATAGCGTGGGTGTGGCCCTTATCCACCTCCCCTGTCCCCCTGGAACGCCGGCGGGGTGATGCGCTGAGACCTCTATCTCCTCCTTTCGCCTCATTTTTCTCGTTCCCCTCGTGGGTGAGTCCTAGGCCCTGGGAGGGGACCTCGGAGTTCCACCGCCCCATCCGCCGGCTCTTGGTTTCCCCGAAAGCAGCGAATGGCCGGGGGTGGAACGCAGAGCTCGCAGGTTTTCTGGAGAGCAGGGTGCTTGCGGTCACCCTGGCCGTAGTGCGTCTTCACCCGCAGGGTTCTTCATGGGCCGGACCGTGGTCGTGCTGGGCGGAGGGATCAGCGGCTTGGCCGCCAGTTACTACCTGAGCCAGGCTCCCCGTCCCCCCAAGGTGAGTGCCCCACGATGCCAGAGGGAGCGCCTTTAACACCTCTCCCATTTCCCGCGAGAGCGAACGCGCCGCCCCCTCTTCTCTTGACCCCTCTGCCACCGCGGCTGTGGTCGTAGTTTGCAGCGTCTCCCTCTTGTCCCCAGGTGGTCTTGGTGGAGGGCAGCGAGCGCCTGGGAGGCTGGATCCGCTCAGTGCGAGGGCCAGATGGTGCTGTTTTTGAACTTGGACCTCGAGGAATTCGGCCGGCGGGACCCCTGGGAGCCCGGACCCTGCTCCTGGTGAGCGGCTTGTGGAATGCTTAGGAGAGATTGCGGAGGGGCCTTCACTAGAGGATAGAGTTAAGGGGAGCAAGTGGATTTGGTGGCCAGCCCTTTCCTTAGTATATCCTCCTCTTGAGGACGTGTGGAGAGCAGGTTTCTGAGCTTGGCCTGGACTCGGAAGTGCTGCCTGTCCGGGGAGACCATCCAGCTGCGCAGAACAGGTTCCTGTATGTTGGCGGTGCTCTGCATGCCTTGCCGTCTGGCATCAGGTAACGTTATCGCTTCCTTACTGCCGTCCTTCTCCTTTGCCCTTATCCTCACACCCCTTCCATTTCCTCATCTCCCAGTCTGTCAGCCCTCCCAGCAAAAGGGGCCAAATGAATGGAAATGATCCCCTGGAGCTGGGGAGGTAAATCAGATCTCCCTTTTCACTGTGCCTTCCTCCATACAGGGGGCTCCTCCGCCCTTCACCTCCCTTCTCCAAACCTCTCTTCTGGGCTGGGCTGAGGGATTTGACCACCCCTCGTGGCAAAGACCCTGATGAGACTGTGCACAGTTTTGCCCAGCGCCGCCTTGGTTCTGAGGTACCACCACCCAGAAGCCCCCAAATCCCTCCCCTTCTGAACCAGCTACAAGTCTACCACGAGGGCCTCTTCTGTAGCCTCTGAACATGCCCTCTTCTTCATACCCAGTAGCCCCCCAAACTCAGTGTTGAGGTGAATGCCTTCAGTTCCTTCCCATCCCATCTGTTGTAGCCAGACTGCTTTCCAAGTAAACCCATACTGCCTCCATTCCCTACCAAGCAGGGATTAGTGGAAATTAGTACAGTTTATTCCTTGGCCTCTCAATCCTAGTCTCACCCTTAAGGTGGCGTCTCTAGCCATGGACAGTCTCTGCCGTGGAGTGTTTGCAGGCAACAGCCGTGAGCTCAGCATCAGGTCCTGCTTTCCCAGTCTCTTCCAAGCTGAGCAAACCCATCGTTCCATATTACTGGGGCTGCTGCTGGGGGCAGGTGAGGGGGCAGTTGGTTCAAGGGTTGAAGATATTAAGGACTGCCAGAGTGAGGGACTGGAGGCAAGGGGTGCTATTTTAATGATTCTTCTCTGCTTCCTCCTCTGCAGGCCGAGGCCCACAGCTGGACTCAGCACTTATTCGCCAAGCTCGGGCTGAGCGCTGGAGCCAGTGGTCACTCCGTGGAGGGCTGGAGACATTGCCCCAGGCCCTGAACGCTCACCTGACTAGTAGGGGTGTCACTGTTCTCCAAGGCCAGCCAGTCTGTGGGCTCAGTCTCCAGGCAGAAGGGCGCTGGAAGGTAGGAGAGCCTCCTGGACTGTGATGAACCTGTGTGTTAAGAGTTTTCATCTTTGTTTAAACTCCAGAACTGGAGTTTCTCTTTTTCTTCTGTCCTAAAAGCTGCTTAAATATGAGGTACCCCAGGTTCTTAGGCCTTATTTGTGGACCTTCCTCCAAGACCATTTGATCCAGATTTGTGGATAGAAGTAGTGCTTATATATAAGTGGCTCCCCCTAAGGGAAAGACCCACCCAGCTCCACTAAACATTTCAAACTGGCCCACTGGCTTTTGTCTGGCCCACTTACTGGAGTAACAGGGGGATGATTTTTGTTCTGACTACATAGTTAGTCTCTTCATCCTGAGTCAGCATCCAATCTCTCCCTGCCATTTGGATGCTGGGAAACTGAGGCAAAATTCCCATGATTTCCATCTTTTAATGTTTTCATCCTTTCAGGTGTCTCTAGGGGACAGCAGCCTGGAGGCTGACCACATTATTAGTGCCATTCCAGCTTCAGGTAATGGGATAGCCACCGCCCACCCCTCCCTTCCCCAGCCAGGGTGAGGTAACCCGGCTTCTTCCTGGGCCAGCGGGACCATACCATGCCCTTGAACTGCTCATCCTTGTGGGGGGTCTTATCCTAAGGAGGGTGGCTAAAACTGCACTGGGAACGCCTCCTGAGGCAGGCTGCTCTCTCCTGCAGTGCTCAGCAAGCTGCTCCCTGCTGAGGCCGCGCCGCTGGCCCGTGCCCTGAGCACCATCGCTGCAGTGTCTGTGGCTGTGGTGAATCTGCAGTACCGAGGAGCTCGTCTGCCTGTGCAGGTGTGACCCGGAAGAAGAGAGACAGACACAGGTTCAGCTGGAACCCTTCCCTCCTGACCTGGTCTCTCTGTTTCCTCCAGGGGTTTGGACATTTGGTGCCATCCTCAGAAGATCCAGTTATCCTGGGAATTGTGTATGACTCCGTTGCTTTCCCTGAGCAGGATGGGAGCACCCCGGGCCTCAGACTGACTGTGAGAGAAGTGGCCATGCTTAGTGGGGTTTCCAAAGGGCTCCTCTCCGCTCCAGTGCAGTAAGGACAGGCTGGTCAGCGCCATCTTCCCTCCTTAGGTGATGCTGGGAGGTTCCTGGTTACAGACACTAGAAGCCAGGGGCTGTGTCTTATCTCAGGAGCTGTTCCAACAGGAGGCAGAGAAAGCTGCTGCCACTCAATTAGGACTGAATGAGCCACCAAGTCACTGCTTGGTCCATCTACACAAGGTGAGTTGGTAACACAGGTAAACACTCTTCAGCTACCTAGTAGAGGCAGGCCTTGGAGGCAGGGACTGATCCATTTGTCACTGTCTACCCAGGCCTGTTGTTGTTCAGTTACTAAGTCGTGTCTGACTCTTTGTGACCCCGCGGAACGTAGCACCCAGGCCTGGGATATCAATAATAATGTTTTCCTTGTATCCCTTTTTCTCTCCCCAGAACTCTATCCCCCAGTATACATTAGGCCACTGGCAAAAATTGGGTAAGTTGAGAGAGCAGCTGGGCTGAGAAGAGCCATGAAAATAGACCCCCAGCTGTGATATTTCTTTTATCTTTCCTTTCAGAGTCAGCTGCCCAATTCCTGGCTGCTCAGAAGCTGCCTTTGACCCTGGCCGGGGCCTCCTACGAGGGGGTTGCTGTCAATGATTGTATAGAGAGTGGGCGTCAGGCAGCAGCCCGTGTCTTGGGCACAGAACCTAACAGTTGATCCTCAGCTCCCATTTCTTCTTGCCCCTGGTGGCAGGGGTTCTCTCACCCATGAAAATAAAGTTTCTAAAGCCTGGCTGGCTCTGGCTGTTCTGTCATCCAGGGGCAGAAGGTGGGGGTGGGTGAGCAAAGATAGGCAGAGAGTGCCTGGGATGCAGAAAGCAGGAGCAGAGGCAAGACAAAGTCCTTTATTAGAAAATATATCAAAATCCCAGCCCCCTGAGCCAGGTTCAAAAGAGGGAGCTACTCCATTACCGGCAGAAAGTACCCAGGGAGGGGCTTCCTTCAAACACACTTCCTGGGAACCATAAATAGAATAAATATTCACAGAGGTCCCGGGAGAAGCCAGATCACTCTTCTCTCCATGGAAGAAGAAGGGATTTGGGGTCCAGCCCTGCTCCTACCCCATGGGCAGGGGAGTCCTAGTAGTCATCACATGTCATGACATCAAGGATTCACAGTCATAAGCCCTGGCAGGTGACCCTAGAAAGAGAGACCCCCAGGGCCAGAGGAGCCCAGCTCCAGTCCAGCAGTGAGGAGAGGCCCCTGCCCCCAGCACAGCAGTGAAGCTCAGTTCCCCCACATCCCTCTAAGAGCAGTGAGGAGCCGAGGGTGGGGAAAATGTAACCCCTCCGATTCAGTTTCATGATTAAAGTGGGAAAGATTCAGCTTCATGATTAAGAAGGAGTCAGTGTGAACCATGGGGAGCTGTGTGGTTGGCAGTAGGCAGAGGGCCAGGCCTGGCTGGGGGCCGGCGCTGCAGCATCTCCTGACGGAAGGCTTGGGAGGAACCAGGCGGGTAATGGGGACCAGAGGAAGTCCGGGGACCCCGAGGGTCAGTTCCAATGTCTGCTGTGATGTTGGTATAGAGAGGGCCCAGCTCTCGAGACAGCAATTGGTATGTCAGTGAGTTCATGCCATCTTGAGTCCAGGAATTCTGGGTACGGACCAGGAGGTCAAATCTGAGGGTTAGAGATCGGAGACTAAGACCCGGAAAGGAACAGTCAGGAATCTAGAAACTTTTAGGAGCTGCCTGGCTGGGGTGTAGAGCCCTGAGGATTCACTAATAAATCCCAGGCAACCCTCCCGGCCTACCTGTGGGGATTTTCCTCGTTGCCCTTATCTCCTCGGTGTTTCACCATCTTATAGTGCCCCACAGATGTGGGGGGACGAGAGATCTTCATCCCAGCCAAGCGAACCCTATGGGAAAAGCGAGGGTACCTTGGAGGATCCGGAGTGGAAGAAAGCTGCTGACAGGTCAGTAAGAAGAGCTAAGGCCAGCAAGGAAGGAACTGCATGTTTCTTTACACAAAGAATAACTATTACTAACTCGACAAAGGGCCAAGTACTAGAAGGGTGAACAGAAAAGTCAAACAGAAAGAAGGAAAGGCAGAAGAGAAAGTAAAAGCTGGTTGTCTCCAAATCCTCAGGGCCTAGTGCAGGCACCCTGGGGCCTATAAACAATTGGCGGGGGTAGGTTTGCACCTCCCACCTGTTTCCTAAATGGCTCCCAGGAGCTGCCTTTGCTGTCTGGAAAGGACAGGGAGAGGGACCATTTTGTCATAAAAGGTAGGACAAGACTGGGAACCGCAGACCGAAGTTCAGCAATTCTTAATGAGATTAGTGGCAGAGGAGCTTCAGCTCTGCTGCACTCCTACCCCTCGCCTACATTTAAGAAAAGGGTGGAACCAGGAATTCAGGGCCTGGAAAGAAATGAACTCCAATTCTGATACACAGAAGCAAGAATGAGGATGGCTGGGGAAGGTACTGAAAGAATACATACATTTAGAAATTGCTGGGTGCTTTACACACATACAGAAGACAAGAATTCATAGAGATGTCATCCTAGAGGACAAACCAGGAGGAGAGGCAAGGGGCCCAGCATATCAAGCCCAAATAGTCAAATGACATATGAAATTGGGTCAGCTGAGGCTGAAGGTCAAAATGTTTCACATGCTAAAAATAAGCTGGCATCATGCCAATGGCACAGGCCCTTTATTTATTTATTTTTTTAAAGTGATTCTGGACTCTGTGGAGCAGAGCCTTTCCTCTTCCAGCTCTGCAGGAAGTGGTTTGGATGCAATCTTAGCAGAGGCAGGACTAAACAGTCTCTAGGCCCCTTTCCAGCTCTGGAATCCCATGATACTGTTGGGATTGATTGTATTGATCTTGCCTTCTCTCCTGGGAATGTTACTAACCAGGTCCAAGGGACTGAAGGATGACAGAAGGGGGAGCAGCATGCAAAGCCTGACCTGGGCAGGCTGAAAGATAAGGGAGAGGAATAGGCACCATTCAGGACCAGGGAGCTAAATGAGTGTTAAAAGACTAGGGCTAGAGGTGGTCTTAGAGGACGGGGATCCAGGCTGGGGCTGGGGAAGAGGGTGGTGGCAAGAAGTCTCACCTGGCAGCAATGTCATCATCCTCACCACCCCAGCCCCAGTATTCATTGGGGAAGCCATTCATCTTCAGGTACTGGTCAGGAGTGAGCGCCGAAACCCCGCCAAAGTACTGGGGATATGGGAGGCTAGGGAGAGAAAGATCCCTGGATTCCACATGTCTTCTGGGAGCCATCCCTCCTTCTTCCACTGGATGGTGGAACACCCTGCTTCCAGTACCCTCCCGCCCTCTACCTGTATCCAAACTTGTTCATGGCAACAGCAACGTGCCGAGGTCCTCGGGGGTCGCACACATACAGATTGTGGTCGTTCTCTGGCAGGAGATCCACATCATGTAGGAACAAGCAGTCCCATTCTTCATCACGCAGGGCCTCCCGCACCCCAACATTCAGCAGCTTTGCCCTATTAAATGTTCCATTTCCAGCCTGGAAGATAATGGAGGAGGACCAACTAGGTCTATAGGTGGCATGGAGAAGAAGCATAAAAGTGAAAGGAGGGAAGTCAGAGTGGGTTACGGGATAAAGAGGATGAAGAGAAAGACAACTTCTTTGTTTTTTCATTCAACAAAAAATTTTTGAGCATCAGTATGTGCCAGATGGGCTTCCCTGGTGGCTCAGACGGTAAAGAGCCTGCCTGCAATGCAGGAGACCCGGATTTGCTCTCTGGGTCAGGAAGATCCCCTGGAGAAGGGAATGGCAACTCACTCCAGTATTCTTGCCTGAAGAATCCCATGGACAGCAGAGCCTGGCTGGCAAAGTCCATGGGGTCGCAAAGAATTGGACATGACTGAGTGACTAATACACATATGTGCCTGACAGACATGCTACTATTTAGCATTTAATCCTAACAACTATGTGAAATAGGTGGTATGTTGGTTACCACTCTTTGCCTCATTTTAGCAGGTTGGGTGTCTTGCTCAAGGTCACATATGGAACAAATGGCAGAACCAGAACTTTGGCCCAAATCTGTCCACTTCCAAATTCAACAACGGAAAAATCATGGAAGATTACAGGACGATGGGAATATCCTTAAGAAGAAGCATGGGGCTAACGTGTTGGCAGAGCAGTGCAAGCTGCTGCTTTCTTACATTCCAGTCTGACCCTCTTTTAATTATTTTGAGACCCATTATATGCAAGTAGAGTGGAATTTGCTTGAGGCTTCCTTATAAAAAAGAAAATCACAGTGGCGTGGGGACTGGGAGTACCTGGTGTATGACATAGATGCCATAAGCAAGCTGCTGGCGCTGCAGGAACGGATGCAGGTGGTAGAGCAGCAGGCGCAGGTGGTGCTCCCGGGCACGGTGAGGCACAATGACAGCTGTCCGGGACCGGGGCTCACAGCCTGCAGGGCGGTATCGGCCCCCCGGCCCCACCCGGGGGTTCCTCTCCATGATCTCTGCCAGCGACGGCACCGGGGTGAAGGACACGGACACAGGACCCACTGTCAGGGGGTGACAAGGTCAGGGGTTAGAAGGTCAGGGAGGCCTGTCCCTGGCAGTCTGACTCTGGGACTCAGCTCCCTCAAGGGCCTGCTCAGACAAAGCCTTGAGTTCCCCATCATTGGAACAACTTTGCAAAGTCTGGAAGGTGAAGGCTCCTCACCTAGCCTGCCTTATTTTAGGGTTCCTTAACTCTCCCCTGCCTCACAAGGTTGGAAGCTTACAGTTAGCAGGTAGAGAGAACAGGACTTCCAACTAACTCCTAATCCTACCCTGAGGCAGGAAGAGCCCATAAACGGGCAGGCAGTGCAAAGCTGTGGCTCAATCAAAGAACCCAAGTCGAAACTCCAAAGTTAGAGTCCATTCTATCTCAACATTAGCCTACCTTCCAGTTCCATGATCCTCCAGTTTGAAGACCCACTGCTGCCATCCTATACTTGTCCAAGCCCCCTGTCCCCACACCTTGGCCTTGCCTTCACTTCTGCCTTCCTTCTGCACTCACCTAAGAGAGGAGATCGTTCTGGACAGTACGGCAGGCCTTGAGGAGCTGGGAGGCCCCCTGGGGCAACAGGGGCCCCAGGCAGGTGACTGAGGTTACTGTAGACATCATGTGGATGAGAATAGTCAAATGTCGGCTCCTGCTCTCGGCCAAAGAGGGCACTGAGGCTTCGAAAGCCCCCCAACGACAGGTACATCATGACTGCCAGCTGGGAGCCCACAAGCAGGGCCAGCGTGCAGGGCCGCTCCAGCAACCTCCGCAACATCCTGCGCTGAGGTCTGGATGAGAGAGAGAGGAGAGTTCTGGGGGGACAGGAAGACAGCATGCCAGCAGAGAGATCATCGGGTATTGATGAAGGTGGTGGACAGGGGTAAAGAGGGGAAAGGAAAAGAACAAAGTCACACAAGGGCGCACACAAGTATACAAAAAGAAATAGAACGTAACCATCAGCAGGCCGCACCACCTGTCACTTCCAGCCTAAGTTTCACTCTCCACCACCCCTCCCTCAAACCACTCCTACCACCTACTCAGTCCCTACCCCCAGGAATGCTTACATCATTCAGGTCCCAAGGCCATTCCAGAGCATTCTCTGGAGAACATTCCTTCCAATCTTAGAGGGGGAGAGATAGACTCACCTAGATTCAAACTGTCTTCTTCAGGATCATGGGGACTCCAGGAGGTCCCGGGGGAGCAGAGATGTGAAGCATTATATAAAATTGGAAATGTAACAAAAGACAGAGACAGGCTCCATCCAGCACTCCAACAGCAATCTTGGGACCAGCTGGAACAGAAGTGGTCAAGGATAGCCAGCCACCCTCAGAGGGGCAGAGAGCAGGAACAGGGTGAAGCCGGTTTCCCGAGCGAGGGAAAGTGGTAGGAGAGAAAAGGGGTGGAGCAGGAGATGCTAGGTCCCCGGCTCTGCCCCAGCCATCCTATAGCATGTCAGATTCACTCGGTATTTAACCATCCCCCACCCCAACAGGACCAACCTGTTTGGGGAGTGGGGACAGGGCAGCTACTGGAGATCTGGGTGAGGCAGTCGTAACAGGACTGTGGAGTGGCCTCAAGAGAACCCAGGGAGGCGGAGGAAACTGGCTCATTTCCGTTCTTCACATTTATGGCAGCTAGCTCCGCAGGTGCAGGGAGGTGACCACCTGGGAGCTGCAAGCAAACAACCCCGGAGCGTGGCAGGAAATAGGATGGGGGTGGCGTCCTCTACCTTCTACCTTTCTCCATCCTGGCGAGGGTCGGGATCAGGGTTATTGATGAAATGAGATGGGGAGAGGGAGGGCTGGGCAGAACCTGTCAGAAGAACCTGGTCTAGCTCACCTAGAGGGGCGTGGTCAGCGGTCTGGAAGGGGTTACAGCCCAGCTCTTTGCCTCCTCTCATCCCATGCCAACCTCCTCTGGCGATTGCTCTACCTCGCAAAGTGAGCCCACCGGCCTCTATCCGGACTTGCACTTAGGTCTCCCTCCTTGCTCAAGGCTGTTTACAGCCTTTACCCCAAACTTCTCACCTTCCCAATCTCCCAAACCTTTCTCCAGGGCCTCCCACCCCACCATCTCCAGCCTACACACCTGGCCTTCTGCCGCCCGTCGTCACCGCCACCCGGACAGCCGGGCAGGAATCGCTGTCGCCATCTTGGAAGCGGGCGCCGCGGGGGCGGGGCCTCGCGTCACGGGGCGGGGCCTCAGAGGGGAGCCGCCCAGGCGTGGGGCGCAGGGTCTGAGCACCGCCGGGATGGTGGGGCTCGCTTCAGGCCGCAGGCAACAAGGGGCTCGACCCTTTGGGAACCAGCGCAGGGGCTCTTCCCCACTGGGCCGACCCCTGGCAGGATTCGATTCCCCAATCCTCAATTCAGCCTCTGAGTCGTGTCCGACTCTTTGCGACCCCATAGACTGCAGCATGCCAGGCTTCCCTGTCCTTCACCAACTCCCGGAGATTGCCCAAACTCATGTCCATCGAGTCAGTGATGCCATCCAACCATCTCATCCTCTGTTTTCCCCTTCTCCTGGCTTCAATCTTTCCCAGCATCAGGGTCTTTTCAAATGAGTCAGTTCTTCACATAAGTTGGCCAGAGTATTAGAGTTTCAGCTTCAGCATCAGTCCTTCCAATGAATATTCAGGACTGATTTCCTTTAGGATGGACTGGTTTGATCTTGCAGTCCAAAGGACTCTCAAGAGTCTTCTCTAACACCGCAGTTCAAGAGCATCAATTCTTCAGCGCTCAGCTTTAAGATCCAACTCTCACATCCATACATGACTACTGGAAGAACCATAGCTCTGACTAGACAGACCTTTGTTGACAAAGTAATGTCTCTGCTTTTTAATATTCTGTCTAGGCTGGTCATAACTTTTCTCCCAAGGAGCAAATGTCTTTTAATTTCATGGCTGCACTCACCATCTGCAGTGATTTTGGAGCCCCCCAAAATAAAGTCTATCACAGTTTCCATTGTTTGCCCGTCTATTTGCCATGAAGTGATGGGACCAGATGTCATGATCTTAGTTTTCTGAATGTTGAGTTTTAATCTAGTTTTTTCACTCTCCCATTTCACTTTCAGAATCAAGAGTCTCTTTAGTTCTTCTTTGCTTTCTGCCATAAAGGTGGTGTCATCTGCATATCTGAGATTATTGATATTTCTCCCTTGATTCCAGCTTGTGCTTCATCCAGCCTGGCATTTCGCTTGATGTACTCTGCATATAAGTTAAATAAGCAGTGTGACAATATGCAGTCTTGATGTACTCCTTTCCCGATTTGGAAGCAGTCTGTTGTTCCATGTCCAGTCCCCACCCCTAGACTTATAAAAACAGCCTGTCAAACCAGGACTTTCCTTGGGGCCAAGAAGGACCGAGAGGTGGGTGTGTTAGAAGACCTATCACCCCAGGCTGGTCTGAATACGATTCTCAATGTGTCAGTGGCCCCCCTGCAACCTAGTGCCACTTATTATCAAAGCTGTTTCCTGCTTGGGGTACATCTTTGCAGACCCCTCTGGTGCATTTTTGTATCCCCAAGCTATCCCTAAGGCCTTGAAATAGAAATGGTTAATAAAATAAGGAAACATTGAATATGAGGGGAAGGGCAGTGTCCGCTTTAATGTAAAAATGTGTTTCTCCAGATGTTAGAATAAGATGGAAGCTCCATTAATACGAAATATATTTATCTTGTGGCTTCTACTACCCTCTTCAAATATTGTGCTCCTTAGAAGCAGATGATCACACTGAGAAAACTTGAATAACTCACAGTGTCTGCCTCAAAAATCTCATGTTCTTATGTGGGGATGGGAGGAGTTACACGAAATATAGTGTAATAAATATGATAACCTAGAAATTGCACCTCATTCACAAGTTGAAGTTTGGGAAAGAGTTCCCAGAAGTGACAGGAAACCTAAAGTACTTGTCTATAGCATGTCCTTCTGTTGTATAAGTTTCTGTTTCCATGCGGCTATTTTACAACTCTGTAGGTAACTGACCCAATGTAAATTCTGTTGTCTGACAGAGGTTCAATTAACCGCCTCCTCCCAACATTGTGGAAAAAACAGTTTTGCCTTCATTTTCATATTTCTGTACCCCTGACCTACATAAATGTGTCTATTCTTTTGTTCAGTTGCTCAGTTGTGTCCAACTCTTTGCGACCCCACGGTCTGCAGCATGCCGGGCTTCCCTGTTCTTCACCATCTCCCAGAGCTTGCTCAAACTCATATCCATTGAGTCGGTGATGCCATCCAACCATCTCATCCTCTGTCATCCCCTTCTCCTCCTGCCTTCAGTCTTTCCCAGCATCAGGGTCTTTTCCAATGAGTTGGCTCTTCATATCAAGTGGCCAAAGTATTGGAGCTTCAGCTTCAGCATCCAATGAATATTCAAGGTTGACTTCCTTTGGGATTGACTGGTTTGATCTCCTTGCTGTCTGAGGGACACTCAAGAGTCTTTTGCTTGTTTCCTTGTGAATTAAATAAAAACACTTTAACAGGTGTTCATTTTTATATGTGTATTAACAAAAACTCTCTCCTTGACCAGATTTTAAACAGGCCCCCTGAGCCCTCTTTTCCAATAGACCTCATCCTTGGGCCTGTAGCCATTTTTAGGAAGAATCTGATATCAGTTTAGCAAGAATCCCCTTACCCTTAATTTCTGATCTCCTTAGCCTGCTTTTAGCAAGAATTCTAAGTTGGTTTAGCAAGAATCTTCTTATCCTTGATGTAATTTTCCATCCATTGACTCTCATTCTGCTCATTGCCTATAAATATCCATTTATCCTTACTGTATGTAGCGGGAATTCCTAATAATGTACCTTCACAGCCTTGAGAAATTCCATGGAAATAGCACCTGGAAAAACAGCATATATTAAGAAACTATGTTAATGATTATCTTTCATGTTTTTCTTAGAATAATAGCCTTGTTAGAAACCCCAAGGCCAGACCCAGAAGGAAGTATGACTGGGATCATGAAAGCATGGACCTTGGAACACCAAGTCGGAGTCAGGCATGAATATTGCTTCAGTTCAGTTCAGTCGCTCAGTCGTGTCCGACTCTTTGTGACCCCATGAACTGCAGCACGCCAGGCCTCCCTGTCCATCACCAAGTCCTGGAGTCCACCCAAACCCATGTCCATTGTGTTGATGATGCCATCCAACCATTTCATCCTCTGTCGTCCCCTTCTCCTTGCTGCTTACTCACTTGCTAATTGTTCCTGAGACTAGCCCAGAAGGGAGAGGCCTGGGGTAAAAACAAGGAGATCTGGACTGTCAGTGTAGTCGATGACATACAGGAGTATGTGACTGAAACAGCATGTGTCTTGAGAAAGATAAGAGCTGAGAAAATTTTGTGTCTACAATTAGGAATAAAAGCTGGACTCAGCGTGGATTCTGCATTTCAGTCCAATAGAGGCTGCAGGTCCCCTGACCCATCGCACCGGATTTCATGGTCTGTCTTCATTCTCGTTGCTCAATCCTGGACCATTAGCGCAACAACTGCATTCAGAGTTGAATCCAGTCTCTCTCTGACTGGGACAGTGTTGGCCCCTATTGCGATAATCCATCTTTCTCACCATTTTAATAAGTGTCAGAATAAGATTTTACAGAGTGAGAGTTATAATTTTACCCTTTCCAAAAATTATCTTTTAACAGATGGATTGTGTTCTAGACCAAGAAAACCATAGTGCAGTCTGAAAATGAGGAATAAATTAGGGCATTGGGGAAATTTAAAAAATGGATCGTAGAGCTAAACAATAGGGTGAGGGGAATGATAAGAGATGAGACTGACAAGGTAAATAGATGTCAGATAATGAAAGAGTCCATAAGCCACATTAAAAGAGATTTTTATCCTGAGGGCAAGACAAAGGCATTAAAACGCTCAAAACAGAGATTTTAGGAAGTTTGCTCTGGTGGAAACGTGGAGCATTATCAGAGTGGTTAAGGGTGGAAGCAGGGACCTATTAAGGTTACTGCAGAAATCCAGGAGTGAAATGAAGCTCATGCAAAGTGAGATAATTTCAGTGGGACTAGAAAGAAGAAGACACCTTTGAGAACTTTTGGGAGGCAAATAGGACTTGGTGAGTGATGGCATGTGCCAAATCAGGGAGTTAGAGACTCCAAGATGGATCTTGGATTTCTAATGTGGACCAATGGAAATTTAACGAGAAACAAAACTTAGAAGAGGCAAATTTGGGGGAAACAGTACCGATGACAAGTTAAACTTTGGACTTAATGAGTTTGATGTGCCTGTGAAGGCTTATAATTCTATAATACTGGATTTCAGTACAATAGCAACTTTTTTTTTTTTTTTTGGCTGCATCAGGTCTTCGTTGCGTCATGTGGAATCTTTCATTGTGGTGCACAGATTCTCTAGTTGTGGTGTGTTGGTTCAGGAGTTGCAGCACACAGGCTTAGTTGCTCCAAAGCATGTGGAATCTTAGTTCCCCAACCAGGGATTGAACCCACATGCCCTTCATTGCAAGGCAGATTTTTAACCACTGGACCGTCAGGGAAGTCCCACAATGGCAGCTTTGAAACCTCTGGCTGTGTGATGTTGAGCAATACACTCTCTGGGTTCATCTGTACAGTGAACCCATCTTAAAGGGTTTTGTGATAATTAGTAAGAAGTATGGGAAAGGGCCAGCAAACTGGATATTCAATACATCTGAATTTTGAGCACAAAATAGGAGTCAAGTAAAAGCCCTACCTTTTTTTTTCTTTTAAAGGTCTCACTGTATAATGGAAAAGATAGACGTATGCAGAAAATTGATATATATCTCATCTAGAGGACGTTTCCTCTGAGCCTCTGCCCCTCCATGGTGATCTGCACTTGCTATCCCTCATATCTACCATCTTCCGACAACTCTTCTACATTCATTTGTGAGCTCCCTGTTTTCAGGAAACTTCACCTCTACTCTTTTTCATGCTGGCCACACCCTGGGCTTAGTCATCATCTAGAACGCCTATGTTTCTGAAACCTTGAATTCTAATATGCTGGTTTCTACCACAACATCCTGCCTTTTTGTATTCTGAATAAATCATGGGGCCCCTAGAGGCCCAGTCATGACACACAACATAATAGAAGAAACGCAGTCTAA